ATTTCTGCTAGGTCATTAAGGCACAAGTGCTGCCACTGGAAATCCATGTTTCCCAAGAGCTGCCGCAATTCCTGCCCGATGGTGATTTTCTACAGGGATGTGCTGCACACTCGGCTGCAAATCTCTCCCCTTGCCAGTAGGTTTGCAGGAACCTGGCCGGGTTCTTTTGGCTTCCAGGGAGGTCTAGTGACTCCGGCTGGTGCCAGCTGGAGCAGGGATTTAAGATAATTGATGCTGCAGGATTTGAAGGAAGTACATGAAAGCCACCAGACAGCATTTTGCACCTTAAATAACTGCCTATGTAAACATAGGTGCCACTAAAAAAGTTATCAGTTATCAGTACCAGTCCAGCACTCTTTTGCTGAAGTTGCATCTTGATTCGTTTTATAGCTTGGATAACATGGTGCACATGCTCCAGAGGGGCAGCCAAGCTCAGCGTGTGATATGGTTGATCCAGAAGCCAGTGGCTTTCCTGGAAGCACGTTCTAAAGCTGCGGTACTGCTGTGAATAATGAAGGTGATCTCGTGTTTTGATAAACCAAAGGAATCTAAACGGGCCTCAAAAAGCGAGGCACATTAATGCTTGTCTTCCAGTAGTATCACAGCAGAATCCTGTTTTCTACTTCTCACACAACTGAACTAAATTCATTTAAAAAAATGAAGAATACACTCCTGCCACCTCACCAGATTTACCTATACAGTGCAGAGCGATGCTGTTGCCATTTGCCTTCCAAGATAACCATTCTGGAGTGGTTTTCTCTCACTAGATTGTATGTCATTTTATTAGCTCTTCCATAACACCAGCCACCACTACACAAGGAATTCCACATTTTCCCACCATTATTAGTCTTGATTTTCAACATCTCTGCAGAGTTGTTTTCGATGGAGCACAGGGGAGAGGGAGGCAACACAGCTCAGGCAATTGCTGCCTTTGAGCACATACATTGGGACGGTTTTTCTTTGATGCTGCTGCCAATTCCATTCACAGGCATATAAAAAAAAAAGGTCATGACATTTAGAATAACAGTGCTCTGGAAATTAAATGTGCCTTTACATTTTTAATTTCTGAAAGTAATTTATCATAGAATATTTGAATATGATTGAACGAGTGGGTAAAGATTAATGCAAACTGCCTTCAAATTGGAAGTTCGCAGGCACATATATTTAACCTTGTTGTATAATAGGCATAAAAGAGTTTATGCATTTCCATTCTGCTGGAAGCATGCACACTGTAATTCTGCTTAGTATTTTTCCACTGACATGTCTATATGAGGCACGTGGCTTAGCTCTCTATCATTTTCTACTTAAGATTATGCTGTACTTGAATGGCTTTCACAAACTTGGCATCTAAACAAGAAGTAGAAAGTCTCTCCAGCCTACACGCCCTTCTATATCAATTTTATTGTATTATCAATCAACGTATTGATTTTTTTATACCAATTCAGCATCATCAATGGTACCAAGGAACTACATGACAGAAATAAAAGTTTTTAGGTTAGGACTAGAGAAGACACTAGAACACCAAGTAACCAAAATGCCAGTCAGAAGCTCCAAACTCAGAGATCCAGAGGTCTGAAGAAGGGGAGACCACCCTAGTGATGCTGTGACCGGGGGGGCTTCGCGGCCTTGCACTTGCCCCATGCACATCAACTAAGACAACATGGGGAGATTCTTTCTGCAAAACCAGGCAACACCACTTGCTGAGCAAAGAGGGGAACCTGCATGAAAGACACACTAGTTAAGAGTTTTCCTATGGCCAGCACCTGGAATTTACAGTTCTCACAAAAACCTGGCTACCATCCAGAGTGTAAAGGGCAGACTGATGGCACAGAAATATTCGGTTTGAGACTCCCTTGTGCTCCACAGGCAGCTGAGGAGATAGAGTTTGAAGAGAGAAGCCTGAATAAGTAAGCTTATGGAAGTCCTAATTGCTATTACTGGCAAGTTCAGACATCAGGAGGAAAAATTCAGATAAATTGGGTTAGAACAAGCCTTCTTTATCGATTATTTGAGTCTCAACAGGAAAATCTTTTGTGGGCACTTATCTAATGAAGTCCATGGAGGTTTGCCCACTGACACAGCGGTTCAATTTGCCTCCCTAGATTTATGTGGCCAGATACCGTTTTGCTTGCTGAACACACAGCAAAGACCTACGAACTGCTTGGCTGCAGATTAACCAAGCAAGCATCTAAAGAGGACACAGGGCTTTTTTGTGTATGTAAACTTTCATGTTCACCTGTACACCTGCACCAGCATGTTGCCTAGGATGCTATAAAGCAGGCTCAGGAGCAGTTTCTTTGCTCACAATCAATGCAGGAGACACCTAGTATAATATTTTGACAAATTCAATACACACTTGTTGGATATTTCCCTTATGTCCTGGGTGACTGGGCTCCTTCCAGAGGGCAGGAGCAACGTTGCAGAGCACCCACTTCATGCTATGATGAAGATGGCAAACTTGAGGCTGTCATTTAATGGCCTTTTCTCGCTGCAAGTCTCCAGTGCAGTGGCATGAGTCCTGTTAACTCAAGGCTGGTCGCAGGAGAAAGCATTGAGGGAAACTGCTCTGCACATTGCCCCATCCATTAAATTAATGCTTTCTTGGCTCGAATTTCGAGCCAGGCAAAACAAGAGCCTGGTCTTCAGAATACACATACCCTGTCAAATTGCGTTTATCAAGATAAGGGTTATTAGAATCTTTTTTTTCTTGTGTGAATGAAATTGTAAGCTTAAAATGTCACTGAGGATTTATTAATCTGATACTCCTTCTGATAAGGGCAACAAAGAGGGCATAATGGCAGCAGCTTATGAGAAGAAAAGTATATGTTTGTGCCTGACTGCAAGAGAGAGAAAATATGAATAAGGCAATTTATCAGTAAGTATTTTGTAACCAAAAGATTCAAACCACATAAAGCAATATTAAAGTTATATATTGATTTCAGAGCCTTGCCATCTAAAATGCTTCATCTAAGTTTGATAGCTATGCAGAAAAATGCCTGATTTGCACAAGACGGAATAAACCTGCGTTTTCAAAATGTAGGTTGTTGAATCACTCTTTGTTCCAGAAAGCACATGAATCATTATAGCTTATTCACGATACTAAGCTTATCCTAGCGTATTGGAGGAGTTTTGGTAAATAAAACCCAAGGCAAAAACGTGAGCGTTACACAGTGCAGCTCCAGTTAAGTTGCCCTAATTTTAGAGGACAAACCTCCCAGCCTCTGGAAAAGCAAGAACTTCTTATGACTTCAATGGGAGTTTTATATGAGCGTGTGTAACAAGGAAAGGCAAAAGGCAAGGCAGGAAGCAAGGCAGGGATGAAAGGCAGGGATGAAAAGCACGGAAGAATTTGCTCTACTCAAAACACTGTTAAGGAAAGTATTTGTTTACCTATTTGCATGTAATCTATAGACAACGATCTTCAGACTAATCCTTCAAAGGTTTAAGGCATGCACTTAACCTCAAAAAGACTGATTGATCATTTGCTTAAATTTAAGTATATACTTAAGGGTTTTGTAGGACCAAAGAGAAATCTGCCCTGAGCACAAGCCTGGTAGGTGCTGCCCTGGGAGGCTCTGCTGGTGACCTTTGCTGGTCCATGCATGTTGTCCCTCTGCCTGCACTCCAAAAACCTTCATGTGAAACCTGGTGACATCCTGCTAGAGGCATCGCCACCAGCAGCTTCACCAGTGATGTTCAACTATATGTTATATACACACACATATAAATACACATACATACTGTTTCTGTCTTTATTGTTGTTGGGATGTAAAACCTGCGAGAGGTTCTCAATGTTTCTGGGTCAAGCAGGCAGCTGCCAAAGCTTCATCCTTTCTGCATTCCAAGTGTAGGCACACAGGGCAAACAAACACATTTCACCGCCCAACGTGACACAGCAAACGCTGCGTAAATCACCACGTTGGCCTCGCGAGCTATTGGTAGAGACAGGAGGCCAGGAGCTGACAGTGATTGAACTCTATTAGCACTGCTCTTTGGGGGGAGGAGACAACACTATATTTAGGAGGCTAATATTCACCTTGTCACAGGTGCTCCCACCAGCACATCTGCACTGATTTTAAGAAACTAGTCACAAGCAACATTTCTTCTCAGTTCCAAAGGGCTTTGCCCGTAACAGGGCTGAAGCTCCTTCACAACACCCGCCTGTGGCACCTCTTCTGCTTTTGCTGCTGTTTTGCTCTTAGTCAATCCATTTTGCAAGAACGGAGTCCCTCTGCATGTGGTCACACCGAGACAGTTTGCGGTCGCTGATGTGGGAGAGAGCTGAGGGAGGGAATCAGCTCGCTAGGTTTACAGACCTGGATACAGCATCTCAAAGGAGCTGCAAGCTGAAACAGCCATAGGGGATGAGACGCTAATCTGCCGTTTTAGATAGCCTCATTATTTAGATAGCATCATTTATGGTGAGCTTGTTGTCACACAGTAACACTTGCACCCTCAGTCAAATAATTTTACATATAAATACAGACACACACATATATATAGCTAATACTTAACTTGTAATGCTAATAATGGTACCAAGAATGATAATACAGTTCAGAAGTAATGTGTTTGTGAGCGTGTGCCCATGCACATCTAAGGAGCTTTTTGTATGATATACAGGAAAACCCATTTGGCTACTGATACACATATATATTCATTGAGAGGGACTATCTTTACAAAGTAATGATGTCTCAAGCAGATTTTCTCTTTTCTGTCTTCTTTTATAAGGCTTCAATATTTTTATTCAAAATACTTTCAGTCAAAGAGATAAATCATAAGCCTCTCTATGAGGAGTCTCTCTATCGAGCGGGTGCTACTTTGCTGCAGGTGTTAACGTCTGAAGGCACCACATGGTAGCTGTACCATAGCTCATAATACGATTTTCCTGAAAAAATGTGTCACTAAATTGCCTTGGAAAGAATAATCTTCTGTAAGGTTTTCTTAGAACAAAGCAGGAGCCACTCAGACAATTAAAACATGTCATTAACAGGTCAACTCACCAGCCTTCTCCGTCTTGTGCTTTGGATTTTCAGGTGCCGGGAGGCAGGGGCAGGGCCCTTCGCACCGGGCTGTGAGAGCTTTGCCGGAGGTACATGCGTGAAACTCCAACTTGCACTGCAATCAGAAAAAGGCAGGAATGGGTTTTGCATTTGGGCAGGATAAAAAAAAAAAAAAAAAAAAAAAGCAGCAGCTGTGGATTAAATGAGAAATTGCATTTAGTAACAATGGCATTGGACAGATTGCAAAAGCTCGGTCTCTATTGAAAATGCTGTTGTTTTTATTATCACAGATAACAATAAAAGCTACTTCCTATGCAGTGTTTGGCACTGGAACTTTTATACATCTCCCATAAAGTGCATTATTGTTATCCTCTGCTTACAGACATGGGATTTGCAGAAATAATTCCTTCCAGGTCACCTGAGTGACTAGCAGCAAAGTTGGGAGTCCTCCTGGATGCTGGCACCGTGTGCTCCTCCCTGAGCTGCACCACCACGTTTCACCCTTGAATGCTAGAAAAATCTCACCATTTACAGCTTGTTTCATGGTTGACATCACTGCAGGTTCATAGGCCTGGTCTTTTGAGGAGCTGGAAGCTCTCAGCACAGGGGATTTACAGCCCCTCCTGCCAGTCACCACGCACGCATCACTGGGGCCAGCGGGACACGTGCAGGTTTGGACAATCCACCAGAATTAGCATTGCAAAAGTGCTCTAGGTAAAAAGCCCTGGTTTACACCATACTGACTATTCAGAGCCACTGCTGTTTCCCCAGGCTGCAGGCAGCACAGACTACACGAATACACTCAGAAAATGGAGAAAAAAAATACCCTAAAGGAGCAAACATGTGCAGGAGGGTCTCTTTGCTGACTACTAATGAGCTGCACTCATTACTATTTTTCTCCCTTGTTGAGTACTGGTTTTACCAGACCAGGGTCAGAGACTTTTAATAAAAGGCTGAGCTTTGCCCGAACTCTTCCTTACAGCGACTGCCTCCTGCCATGCAACCTGAAAATGCTGTAAAGACCTTTTAAAAGTGCTGGGTTTTGTTATATATTATTGTTTTCCACTTAAAAGGAGGTCAGCGTGTGTACACAATGCAACGTGGCGTGGTTTGGACCGTGTGAACATCTTTAGGGGTGCAAGAAGGTGCAGTGCAAGAGCAGCAGGTCACCCAGCGTGGACACGTGGCACCTGTGGCTGGTAGAGCGACGGCCGCCGAGCAAAATCCCAGCCACAGCTCCTGTTATTTGGGTACAGGGGATGCTGAGAGCACAGAACAGGATGTTGTTACAGAAAAAACGCCTCCTGCTTTGAAAATGCAGCAACTACCTTGGCTTTGCCCCTGTTTATTTTTGTTAAAAGGGTTCATCTTCACCCAGGCTTTAATCTAGCAGCAGGAGACTGCGCTATTATCCTGTGCCTCCATCCTCCTTTGTCAACGTTATCTCCTGGGCATTCTGAACTCCACTGTACCCTAAGGACTTCATATGCCTCTGCCTTTCCCATTTGGATAAGGCATGGACCCACAGAAGCACGGGCTGATGCTTGGCTTGTGCTGTGCTCGCTTCTTGCGAGGCTGGAGGGAATATAAGTGCTTCTTTTTCATCTGTGCACTACAGAACACACCAGCAACCACATCAGAAGGAAAGGGGCAGCAGCCAAGAACCCTCTCCAGCAAAAGGAAACTCCTTTTACTGCCCGCTCTGATAGTGGGGATGCTGCCGAGAGCTCACCCATAAATCTTCTCCCTGCAGCTGGAGTTGACAATTTAATTCCTTACACAACATCAATTAGTTGCATGCTTTATTATGCATAATAAGCATAAATTATGTATCTAAGCATTAGCAATTATACTTCCAAACCACCTTTAAGATGGTAAGGCCCATTTCCACACCATTACTGCGTGTCGCGAAGAAAGAGCTTTGTACAGAAGAAGAGCAAGGCAACGTTTTCCCCAGCTTTCTTGATGATTGCTAAAAATTACTACCAAAAAGCTAAAATAAAGCAAAAAAAGAAGAAAGAACAGAATCAACACAATCAACAACTGATTAAAAAGATCAGTTTTTATGATCTGAACGCACAGGGTAAGAATGAAAGTTGCTTTTTTGCCACCTCCCTGGTGTTTGAAGTGTCTTTGTTTTCTATGAACCCCAAGGCCCACATAAACATCTCCAAGGAATTTCACTGCAAATCAAAAAAAATCAGCTCTGGTATTTGTTGCTAAATGTATATGGAGATCAATAAAATATATGAGGGGAGAAATGGCTGAACATATTCATGGAAAATTCATAAATTAATTTATTCAACTAAGATGTGGGAAATTATTGCAGAGTGTTTTGGCTAAAGTGGTCCCTGGAGAATCCATTGCTTGGCTAATGATATTCTCTTTATTGTTAGTGCATTGACAGCAATGTGTCTTGCATAAATTCGAGAGAGGAAGCAAATAGCTGCGTAAAAAATTATTCCCAGCTATTTTATTCCTATTGGTCCCAGCACGTGATCCCTGCTAGACGAGAACCTAGATGTTTTGTAAGGATGGAATAAACTAGCGTCTCTCTGCTCAGTAGAGCCTGCAGCCCCAAGCAGAGCCTTATGAAGAGCTCTGCATCCTGACACGAGGACCTCGAGTCCTCGCTTGACATGGTAGAGCTGTGCTGCTAAAGGAGACTGTAACCTCCAGCCTCTACCTGCTTCTGCGGTTGAAATTGGAATTAGCAAGGAGGGAAGAGCGCTAAGCATAATTTTTTAGCGGAAGTGGGAAGGAACTAGCAGGCAAAACATATGATGCAAGATTACTCGCCATGAGATCTTTATCAAAAAAAGGGCTCAAGGTTAGAATAGAAGGTAAATTTTATGGTATGCTAATTAAAATGTAAATTAAAGCACTGAGATATTACCTCTTATTAACAGCAGTGGCCTTAAAGCCCTAGTGCTCAAAGGTGCTTTTGCCTGGAGCTGCACTGGGCCTCCCTCAGTGCCCTGCCCAAGACTCCTGCATGGCTACAGGGCTCATTTTTGGGGCAGTTTGCTTTATGGTGCAGCTTTTCCCACTCACAATATGTTCCTTCTAAACTTCAGATATAAACAACAAAAGCTCATTATTTTCCACCTTATCTTCCTACCTGCCGCAGGCAAAGCTAAAATTTCCTGAAATTACGGCGTACATATTTCCAATCCAGAGCTTCTTTATATCAGTATTTTTCTCTTACCTATCTGCCTTAGCACATAATTAGACTCCACTGGAGTCCAGGCTCCCGCTTGCGAGGGACTGCTTGTTTACATGCTTTAAAGCACTGTTTGCCATTACTTCCTTAGCTGGGACTCCTACCAGTATTTTCTTCATAAGCTTCTGATTCCAGTTTTCATCAGATGGAAAACAATACTACGACTGGAGCACTGTGACTCAGGCCCAAAGTTTTTTTCCCTCCGCCTTTCCTTATTACTTGGCACAATAAAAATGGGCTCAGTATCTTGATATTAAAGAGAAATTTCCAATGATGCCCTCCCACTGCAGCAGTCTCCTAGTGCCAAGAAGGAAGAGCCTCAGGTATCCAGACACCAATATTAAATATTGATTTACTTTGTGCATCTGCACAAAGTAACACCCCAACCAACTACCAACTCCTAAGGACCTGGAAAGAGAAAACTTTCATCTTCCAGGAGGGGTGAGGAGATCATAGCTTCCCCCTCAAATAACTCAAGCACCTAGTTCTGCAGTTCTGGGAACTTTGGCCAAGTAGCTCATTGTCCTAGCAGAAATTCATGTGCTTTTTTGAGCATCTGGGGCCCAGCAGGTCTGCAACTTGACCGAGAAGAGTCAAAGCTGGTTTCTTGTGCGTGAACATGAGTGCCGAAGCACTCTGCTGATGCACATCTGTGCATCCCAGGGTGTCTCAGGCCTGGCAGATGGGCACCAGGGCTGCCCCAGGCACATGGGGGTTTCTCGCCTAGGTTGGCACTAGCTCAGTGACTCCTACAGCATAATCCATTGCACGGCATAATCATGTGCTACGCAGGGTAATCCTCACATGAACCATCTTTGGAGATGCTAATTCTCCAGGCAGAAATATTTGCAATATCAGAATCCAAATGCAACTATAGCCAGCAATGCTGGCTTCTTTTAAAACAACAATTGCATCTTATAGTTCACATTTTATATTCATTTACAGAAAGAACAGTCAAATGCATTTCCTGATGGGAAATGTCTACTTTTCCTCCTATGGAATTTACAGAATAGCAAGCTGCACACTGGAGATTTTACTTTCCAATCCACTAATCCACCATGTCCTTAGATGCACACATTAAACTCACTTTCCTATCACATTTTTTTTTAATTTCTGTACTTATGTTGCTTTTTCATCTGCATTTTTTTCTTTATTGTAACTCTTTATAATCGCAAGTTGAGAGTTCATAGCTAATACTGTTATTCAAAGGGAAAAGAAGTTACTTAAGATGGTTTAATGGAACAAAGCTATCAGTCCAAACATAAAGAAAAACACAGGATAACAATTGGAGATTTGGCACAATCGATGCTCCCTGAAATGTATTGCCATGTAATTGAGATGCATTTGCATTCTGTAGCCATTTACCGACCACAAGAGAAGGATGATTTGTCATTTTTACTCGCTTCAAATTACTGAAGGCAATTTAATTTCTCTCATGGAGACAACGCATCAGATAACGTGAACATAATCAAGAGGTAACGATCTGTGGCTCCGCGCACATCCAGACACTCCAGTCACCAGCTACACAACATCCTACATGTGGTGGAGGGAAGGCAATGCACGACATTCAGATACCCAAGCACAGGGGCTCTGCCCAAGCAATCACACCTTAAACAGAGCAATAGGAGCTCTATTAGTCTGGATGACAAGATGAGACAATGCTCCATCTACTCAGTCTCAAATCCATGTGCCCACACATAGGAAAAAAAGCAGCATCTGGTGACAGACAAGAAGGGCTGGGATGTTCTCTCCAGGTTTTTGTGCCATTAGTATTATTGTAATATTTTAGTAGCCATTTCATAGCCAACTACTCCCATCAATCAGTAATTCCAATGTCACGTGTCATCTGCAGAGTTGCCCTATGAGAACCAGAGCACAAGAGCTTGAAGCAA